CCACCACCAGTGAAGGCGACGTCTATCAGGTCTTTATCAACAACTTTAAAGAGACAATCACTCAGGGATTGCCTCGACTCATCGAGAAACATAAGCAATCTAGCTACCCTGCGAAAGCCATTGTTTATGATTCAGTGCTTCCGTGGACTTTGGACATAGCTCATCAGCTAGGCCTCAAAGGGGCAGTACTTTTTACGCAGCCCTGTACTGTTTGCTCAATCTTTTATCACATGAAACAAGGGACACTCAAGATTCCTAATGAAGATGAGGGCTCCGATATAATGTTGCCTGCTATGCCACCGCTCAAGTTAAAAGATTTGCCTTCTCTTATATACGACACAGGCGCGTATACAGCTCTTTTTAATCTTCTTATCGATCAATTTTCAACGTACCGGGATGCAGATTGGCGCTTGTTTAACACTTTTGACAAGCTTGAAGATGAGGTAGGGCTTATCTATTGACCTTCAATTACAATTTACAACTAACAGATTTTTTTGCATATTTCTCTCCTTTAAAATTATCCAGCCGAGTCCTATACTACAGAATGGAAATACTAGCTTTATTTTCGAGGAAAATGGCTGAACTTTATCCTCTGCAGATATTGAAATGGATTGCAAGCGAAGGTCCGATTCTGACAATAGGCCCGACTATTCCACCATTGCACACAGACGACATTGAATATGGCCTCAGCCTGTTCAAGCCAGATGCTGAAGCTTACTTGAAATGGTTGGAGACAAAAGAGAATGGCTCCGTAGTCTACGTATCATTTGGAAGCTTAGTCACCCCCGGAGAAAAGCAAATGGAAGAAATAGCTCGTGGATTGGTCGAAAGCAACTGCTTCTTCTTATGGGTAGTTAGAGCTTCTGAAGAGAGCAAGCTCCCGCCAGATTTTGTCTTGGAGAAAGGTCTAATAGTGAATTGGTGTTCCCAGCTTCAAGTATTGGCTCACCCAGCAATCGGGTGCTTTGTAACACATTGTGGGTGGAACTCGACTCTTGAAGCATTGAGTTTTGGAGTGCCTATGGTGGCTATGGCTCAATGGACAGATCAAACCACGACTGCCAAGTTAATTGCTGATGTATGGCAAATAGGGGTCCGTACTAAGGCCGACGAAAATGATTTTGTAACTAGAGAAGAAATTGCAGGGAGTGTAAGAGAAATAATGCAAGAAGAAAGAGGAAATGAGATTAGAAGAAATGCCAGCAACTGGAAGCAACTGGCAAAAGAAGCTGTCAGTGAAGGAGGAAGCTCACACAAAAATATTACAGAATTCGTGATCCAACTTTCAAGAAGTTGAAGTTTACTGCTTGTTTGCTATACCAGAGTCCACAACATTAGACGGTTAAAAAGAACAGGTTCAATTCTACATAATAGGGGCGGATCCACAGGGTACTTTTTAAATTGGCTTGGTCAAACAACCAATTTTTGAGTTTGATCATTTTTTTTTTTTTTGTATTCACCATATTGGCCTCTTGTCAATAAAAAGAAAATTATGTCCTTATTTATGTTTCACAACTACAAAAGTATATCAATTCTTTGAAAGACAATAATACCCTTAAATGTTTAAATAAATTCAGTTACTTCCATACGTAAATTTCAAAATCAGTTTTGCGTATCAATTTTTCCAATACAGTAAAAAAGAATTTTTTCGTTCTATCTGCAAGAATATTGAAATCTCCCAAAATTATCAAAGGTTCAACAAAGAAACAATACTCACAGTCAGCATTGGAAATTGGTAAGTGTAAATATGTAATTTTAATTTTATTTTAGTTAAATTTACTGTTTGAATCTTTAAATCTTTTTTTGACAAAGGTAGATGAATTTTACAGTATTTAAACACAAATTTATAATTTTTTTATAGCAAAAACAACAAAAAAAATTCATCTCTGTATGCATATATTTTACAGGAAAAATTTATAGGTGTCTGTAAAATAAATATTTAAACATTATTTCATTGAAAAAGGGAAAAATAAAAAATTCGAGCGTAAATTTCAGATTAAACAGACGAAAAAAGCTGGGCCAAATATTTCCAGCCGGCTGTGTCCAGCCGGCCTAATTTTTTTTCCCTCCCCTTTCCTTTCAGATTTTAGAATTTATTTGTTCATTAATATATGTTTATTGAAATAAATATTTATGAATATTTAATACTAATTGAAATAAATATTTTTGAAACAATTAAAATAATCAATGAATTATTTAAAATATAAAATTAAATTAAATATGAAATGAACAATTTAAAAAATTATATATTAATTCCTTATTTTTAATTTATGGCAGATATGGCATCAGCATGTGTCCCAATTTGTTACTTAGGTGGATTTCAAATGAATGAAAATGCTAAGTGAGAATGGAAATCGACGAGTGAAGGACATGAGGTTAAAGCAATTTTTATAACAATGAGTACATCGTTTGCAGAAATGTACAGTGATATATAAAACATGCTTAATGTCGATCCCTCTCAGTATGATATGGAGTCGGAATTTTTGTTTCATAAGCATTCAAACATTCCAATTCCACCTATGAAAGTTACTTCTAAAGTGGAAATGAAACATCTAATTAAATTGAACCAAGGCCGAAAGTTGACTCCTATTTGCTTAACCTTATTAGGGAAGAATGTCCACGAGGGTGAACACGAAATTTCAAATGAAGAGAATCGTAATGTAAATGATGTTTGGGATACAATTCAGATTGTTCGTGAAGATGATGTGGTTATTCCCGAGACCACTGCTACTCACTATGATCACATTTTTACGCACAGAATTCCATCAATAGTTGAAGACAACGAGAATAAAAACGCATTTACAAACGAAAATTTGATTGCTTTATCCCGTAGGAGACATGAGTCGGGTGGGAGCTCACAGACCGGACCGAGTATACGGTCCTCTAATTGTTCGCGTGTAGTTTCCGATGATGAAGATGTATATGTCGAGCAACTATTCGAATCAAAAAAAGAATTGCAAGAAACTGTGCACCGGATTGCTTTAAAACATAACTTCGAGTTTAAAGTGAAGAAATCAAACAAGTCGACGTACACAATTATCCGCGTTGACGACAGTTGCCATTGGCGTTTGCAAGCGACTAAGATAGACGCGAATGAGTTCTTTGTAGTCCGTAAGTATGCACAGGAACATACTTGCGAAATGGGTATTCGTCGAAATGATCATAGGCAAGCCCAATCATGGTTCATTGGTCGAGAAATAATGCACAAGTTTCAGGATCCACAAACGATCTACAGACATTCGGACATCATTAATGACGTTCGACGAGAGTACGGGGTGGTCATGAGCTATCAGAAGGCTTGGAAGGCTAAAAAATGTGCATTGGAGGATTTGATGGGTTCGACCGAGGAGAGTTATGCTAAATTAGCCAGGTATTTCATTGTTTAAGTATTTATTTCTTTGTTATTTTAAATTTTAATTATTTAATTTCAATTGTTTATTTATATGTAATTAATTATTTAATTGAATTGTTTATTTTTCTGTTCATTTAATATTTAATATATTATCTAAATTATGATTATTTTTATTTACATTGGCCAGGTATTGCTATAACATGGGAAGAATTAATACTGGGTCAGCATTTTTTATTGAGAAGGATGACGAAAATCGTTTCAAATATTTCTTTATGACCCTTGGACAATGTGTTCGAGGATTTCGAAATGCAATGCGACCCCTTATCTTAGTCGACGGTACAACCCTTAAAGCGAGATACGGGGACAAGTTGATTATTGCAACATGTCAAGATACAAATATCCAAATTTACTATCTTGCATTCGACAGAGTCGACGGAGAAAATGATGTAGCGATGAGTTGGTTTTTCACGAAGTTGAGGGAAGTAATTGGAGATGTCGAAAATCTTGCATTCGTAACCGATCGAGGGCAATCAATAATAAATGGTATCGCCGAAGTCTTCCCCGAGGCACATCATGGTTATTGTATGTACCATATACAGGGAAACTTGAAGACCAGGTATCGAGACAATGGCGTCGTTGCATTGTTTAGGAGAGCTGTAGAGGCTTACAGTTTTGAAGAGTTTGATAAGTTCATGGTCAAAATATGCAGTAAATCGCATGCTGCATGGGAGTATCTAACAGAGATGGGGATTGAACATTGGGCACGATCACATTTTCCAGGACGTCGATACAACATGATGACGTCGAACAATGCGGAGTCGCTTAACGCTTTAGTCAAGAAAGATCGAGAGTTACCAATTCTCGCAATGATTGAGAACATTCGTGATAAGCTACAACAGTGGTTTCATGTTCGACGTAAGGAATCATAGAGTTGTGCAAGTGTGCTAACCCCGGCTCAAGAAGATAAGCTCTTCAAGACTCTAGATGTGGCAAGAAAGGTATATGTAGAACCACTGGATCAATTTCGCTTCTTCGTGAGATGTGCACATAATTTCGGATACATTGTGGACTTGAATAATAATACGTGCACGTGTAGACGGTTTCAGTTGGAGAGTTTTCCGTGTACACATGCAGTGGCAGTGGCTGTGCATAGAGGATTACCACCATACACCTTAAGCAGTGTGTATTACATGACTGATTATTGGAGAGCAGCATATGCAGAAACAATATTTCCTGTACCAAATGAAGTCGAGTGGGAAGTGCCCAACCACATTCTCCCACCGAATAACTTGTTGCCACCAGCAGTTGCACCACGTACTCCTGGACGTACACATACGTCTAGAATACCATCTACCGGAGAGTTTCCCCAGCCTCGTAAGTGCGGTGCAACATGGCATACTAAAAGATATTGTATAAGTTAGATTCCTCTGCATGACAATGTAACAGATGTGTAATTTTAATAACTATTGGCAATGTAATTATTTATAACATTGACGTTAATTATTTATGCATATTATTTATGTAAATTATTAGATTTAGTATTTTTTTTTAAACATTTCATTCATTACATTCATTTGTTATGCATATTATTTATGTTAATTATTTGAAATCGAAACTTTTTCTAGACACTACATTACACAGTAGGCTGCATTGTAAAATAAATATTTAAATATTAATAAATAATTAACATTTTACAATTCTTTCGTAATTACAAATAAATGAATGAATTGTACAATGTTTAAATAAATGTAAAAATATGTACAATTATTTACGGATTCCCATTAAATTCAAATAAATCACATGCTAGTTTATTTTTCCAATTTTGTATCCATGTCTGGTTGATTGCATCAACCTTATGTGCCACACTCAAAAATTTTATGTACTTGATGACGAACATGCCACAATTATCCATACAATTAAATAATGTTGTATTAGCACATCGAAAATTAGTTAAAACCTAAAATGTAAGTAACAAAAATAAAATTACAAACACTTACGATATTTGCTGCCTCGCCGTCGTCGTGTTCCGCACGATGGCCAATCTGTCCTGTACAGTGATGTTCGCTCGTCTAACTATCATGGGAACGATCACAGACACCAACTCTAGATTTTGCTCGAGCTGGCCTTGTGTGAGGCATGAATGATCGGGGTCGTACCCATACATCGTGGAGTCGGCGAATACGATTTTCACTGCAATGTAGTGATGATTCACACATACTGGCATGTGCATACAGTCATCCCATGGCTTTCCACCGACACTCAGCCACATCCCTACGACTCATTCCATCATATATTCCGGCACCGTGTACTCGCTACCCATAACTTGGAACGACTGGTACTCAATGTCAACGGCACGGATGAACTCGGTGTTCAATAGAGTCTGCCAGGAATGTTGAACGATTTTGGATGTCTTTCAGCACGATCTCGTAGCAAATCCATGCTCAAGTCGATGTGCTACATCAAGAAACACCAATAAAGAAAGGAGTTAATCTATGAATTTCATTTAAAAAATTGATTTTGAACATACATAATAAATAACAATATTTTCATTTCACTTACATCGTCGGCGAGCCAAGCCCCCGAAGTGGTGATGTCGTGGAACTACTTGTAAGCATTTGAGATCGTCTTCTCAACAATCGTGCGGCTGGCCCTAAAAAAATAAGAACAGAATTTTTAGTTATAAGAAGTATACATGTGTCAGCGTCTGCGTCTGCGTACTATACTAATTATATAAAATACAAAACTTACCCAGGCTGCAGTGCTCTCCACTCTGTCTCAAAGGCTTTCCACTTGGCGTGGTCCACCTCCCTGAATAAATTCGGGTGCGTCCCGTCGACGAACCTTCTCCTCTTCGCCTCCGCGGTAAAGGGAGAAAGAATGTACTGTGATGGCACCCTTGGCCTCTTGCCGACCACCCGCTCCAGCACGTCAACAGCCATCGTCCTCTCCTCATGCGTCTCGGGAATCTCCATCTCCCTAGCCATCGGGACGACCCCCTCCCCACTATCGAGACCACCTCCTCCGACACAAAGACCACGTTCGGCGAGTCTGGCCTCTTCTCGAGTACCACCTCCACCTCCGGTACCCTCTCCTC